GTTCTCAGTTCACATCTCGCCCGGATACCGGCGAACCTCACTGAGACTTTTCTTGGTTTTCCTCAGTTCCTCCAAGGAGATCTCGAGATAGTACCTCGATTAGTTCACGACCGTTTCATTCCAAATCTTTTCATTTCATCATTCATCCTGCTATTGGACTCCGTATAATCAGAGATGCTGACAGCATTGCAAAATAACCCCCAAGCCACATAGTGCGCATGTCACAAGGTTATCAAACGATTAAGACTGAGAGTAAAATCTTCTGTTTTGTAATACTGTGTAGTTCGGCAGAACATATTGTCACCGTCTTCAGGGTCGAAGACTAAACCGAGAAAGGAACCAGCAATAAGCAAGCGGATAGCTCCGGAACGTCGATGGACTTTATCGAACTACAAGGCGTCACAACCCAGAATACCGTAATCTTCATTGTCGCCGCTCTAATAACCGGAATTCAACAGGATTTATGAAGATTTAAAGGGAAATGAAGGCTGATTCTACATTATTGTCGGGCTTTCCACGCCTATAATTTTCAAACCGGAAAGAACAAAATAAAACTGCTTACGCATATGAAACTGTAACACAAAATTTTTATTTTGCAACGTTGTACACGCCGCATTGATGTCTGGGAGAAGACATGGCGTCATATCTCAAAATGGCGACTACTCAAGAGAAAGCAGTTTGCGTACTTCGGTTCTTCGAAACAAAATCCATTTTCAAAAAGCAATGTCGTTACAGAACTCAGAGAATTTAGTTTTTTTTTTAATAAGAAGCTGACTGTAGTGACAGAGGCAGAGTGACTGCCTACACATGTAAATATTCAACCTTGTATATCTTTATCAGTCGTAATATACTTTTTTAAACCATGACCTTCTAACACTCCTTCTGTGATTGACAATAACAATCGTGCCTGCAACGTAACCGTATTATGTAACTTTTATCTCCCTCTTTCCTTCCTGCCTTCCTGTTCAGAACGAGCATTCTTTCTTTTGTGTTGCCTCTTACCTTCTACCACATTCGTTTCCAAACTTTCAGACATGGAGTCCTCCTTTCTTGGTTTCCACTAAACCTGCAATCCCCCAAAACTCTTTTATTGAAATAAATATATCTTTTTTCATTGGTATTTATGTAATTATGTATAATAAACTAACTCGTAATTAGTTCTATAACAAAACTCACTCACTCATGAAGCTGAGCCCTTCTTGAGAAGCCGCCAGTTCGCCAGCTACTCGAGAACTTCTTAATATTTTATGGAAACCGAAGGTTTATTACCGTGTTTACAAGAGCCCTCCATTGGTCCCTCTCCTGAGCCAGATCAAACCAATCCATTCCATCCAATCCTATCTCTCTAAGATCCATTTTAATATTGTCCACCCATCTACGTCCTGGTCTTCCTAGTGGTCTCTTTCCTTCTGGCTTTCCCACCAATACTATAACGAAACTGCGATTATAACTTCGAAATTTTTTAAATGAGAATGCTACATGGTGCCCTTTAATTGGAGATGATTAATGTTGAATAATATTTAAATATTAATTGCTTTAATTGTTCTAATATCTAGATTAATAATTCTGCCTTTGCTTACGAAAGAGATATTTAAATGCAGCTAGGAAAATATTTTTTCTACTGAATTTGACATAAATTATTTTTATGCTCCTGGCCTCATATCTCCCCTCACATTCCACCAGAAGGGCGCTCGTACCAAACTGGGAATGACAGGTCTACCCTGGCTCGATATCCTTTGTGCAATCTGTACCTTGCAGTTCTGGTCCCCAGAAATTGGCTGGAAAATGACGTGCTTGGTGGAGACTGGTCGTGGGAGAGCCTTGTTTTGGCAGAGAAAGAGAGTTAGAAAACGATGTTTTTCATTTATTTTGTATGTTGTTCTGTAATTTGGTTGTAAATCCAAATTTATGGGTCATTTAAACTGTGCCTTGATTCTGTTTGTCTGTCTCTGTCTTACTTCTGACGCTAGGGTGCGCGTCACAGGGTTGAGTAGAGAGGGTAAATGGCAAGCAGATATGTTGAGAGTTTCGGTGTAGATAGGCAGTAACACTACAGAGTCACACACGCAGTTAGGTTTGCTTCACATTAGATACCATTCTGAAGTTACTTTTATAATTAGATACTAGTTTCGACAGCTGGGACCGAACCCGTCACCTTATGGATACAAAGTCAGTATCCTAACCATTAGTCTTATTATACACGAACGTCTGTCGCACGTCTTGGCGAACCATTGGTTTAAATGGTGCTGTTTCCATGTAGCCACACTGCTGATCGGACCATTCACTAAGAGAATTCTGCTAGTCATATGATTCAGTTCTAGGTGCGCCAGCCCAACATTCGGAAGGTCCCACGATCCATCCAGGGATGGAAATTGCTTTTCAGAAATAGGTGGACGCTGCAGTACAGAACTAGGTAGACGTTACGGTTCAGAACTAGGTAGACCCCACAGTTCAGAACTAGGTAGACGTTACGGTTCAGAAGTAGGTATAAGTTGCAGCTCAGAACTAGATAGACCCCGCAGTTCAGAACTAGGTAGACGTTACGGTTAAGAACTAGGTAGACCCCACAGTTCAGAACTAGGTAGACGTTACGGCTCAGAAGTAGGTATAAGTTGCAGTTCAGAACTAGGTAGACCCCACAGTTCAGAACTAGGTAGACGTTACGGCTCAGAAGTAGGTATAAGTTGCAGTTCAGAACTAGGTAGACCCCACAGTTCAGAACTAGGTAGACGTTACGGCTCAGAACTAGGTATAAGTTGCAGTTCAGAACTAAGCATATGCTGCAGTTCAAAACTAGGCGAAACCTGCTACTGAGAATCAGGTAGACGCTGCAGTTGAGAACTAGATAGACCATGCAGTTCAGAACTAGATAGACACTGCAATTCAGAACTAGATAAAACCTACAGTTCAGATCTAGGCAGGCGTTGCAGTTCCGAAGTACGTAGATGCTCAATTTCAGCAGAAAACTCAGGCGAATGACCATCACATATTAAATAGAAATTATTGCGATATGTTCTTGAATTTGTTTCTATTTTTATTGCTGTTGTGAGCGATAGTTTTAACGTCTTAAGGCATGTGAAATAGTTTCCTTAAAAGGAAGGGCTCCGCCCACGTGTCGATATGTGAGTACATATTGTTATGCCTCCTGCAAGACACTTACCGAAGTGAAACTTCAAGATCAACCCTAACCGCCGTAGACGTGTACAGCTGAAGTGTATAGCCATAACACAGTACAGCCCTCGTGAGTGTCAAGGCGAACCCATGGACACCCCTGTCATTTCCTGGAACACCCTCTCAATTTACAATGAATGAAGAACCCGACAATTGGATTAACAGGTTTCACTAATGCACGACAACTGATATAGTTCAGTAAAACTGCAATTACCTGTTCGTATCGGAGGAAGAGAACTTCTACTGGGTTTCTGGGTACCTGCATGTGTCCCAAACTTTTGTATAGTGGGCAAATCATAGCAGTACTCGAGGGTACTAATGTGTTTGAAGGGATTAATTCTGTGAATAAAGTAGGGCATAAGAAAGCTGGCCCGTCACGGTAGCCGAGCGGTCTAAGGCATGTATTGTCTTCGCTCGCTTGGAAACCGGGATCGTGGGTTCGAATCCCACTCAGGGAATGGATGTTTAGTTTCTGTGTGTGCGTTTTTCTGTGTTTGTGTACAGGTAGAGACCTTGCGATGAGCTGATCACCCGCCCAAGGAGTCATACCGAATGTGTAAGATCTAGTAAACGGAAGTAAACGGAGAAGTTCATGAAGGTAGGCCTAGGCCCACTGGGGCTGTAGTGCCAAGGGGGAAAAAAATAAGAAAGCCCTCCAAAAGCAAAAATATATATATAGGGCTTGAGGTTCTCACAGCTGTGGTTATGAAGGGTTCTGTGTTCCGAGATATACCGCCGTGTAGGATTTGAGGTTCTCACAGCGGTGGTTATGAAGAGTTCTGTCTTCTGGGATATAGCGCTATGTAGGACTTGAAGTTCTCACAGCGGTGGTTATGAAGGGTTCTGTGTTCCGGGATATACCGCCGTGTAGGATTTGAGGTTTTCACAGCGGTGGTTATGAAGACTTCTGTCTTCTGGGATATAGCGCTGTGTAGGATCTGAGGTTTTCACAGCGGTGGTTACTGAGAGTTCTGTCTTCTGGGATTTAGCGCCGTGCAGGATCTGAGGTTCTCACAGTGGTTGTTACGAAGCGTTCTCTCTTCTGGGATATACCGCCGTGTAGTCCGTTGAAAGCCGACGTTTCGGAGGAATAAGTCACATCTATCTTCAGAGTAGAAGAATAAGACAAGCAAGAAACAAGCTTAAACCAGGTAGCAAGCAACAACTTGCTGTCTGTTTCATGCTCTGCTTGCGAACTGCTTCTTTTTGTTTTCTTGTTTCCAGGATTCTTCGTCCCTGAGGATGCAGACGAAATGTACCTTCAAAACTTCTGTTGGCTTTCAACGGACTATACGGCGTTATATCCCATAATAGAATTCTTCAAGATTCAAATATTTAAAAGGAATATGTTTCGTGATGCTTTTCGTTTGGCAACAAATAATCACAAATATGAAATATAATTGCTGTATGTTTTCTTAATATTTCGATTAAGAATTCGGGCAGGTTCTTACAGAAGAAAAATTATAATCATTTCAACAGAATTTGATATTAAAAAAAAAAATTGTTCTGGTAGCCTCGAACCCCTTCATCCTGAACCCCCTGAAGCATCAACTTTCTTTATCCCCTTTAAGTCAACGCCATGACCCTCACACTGGACCCATAAATTTCTGGAGGTTTTGAAAAGGGGACAGACACCTAAGTTAAACCTCCAACATCTCCCACCTTTCTTCCAGTACTAAAATCGGCGCCAGGTCAGTCATATTGATCAGCATGGGGGGTGGTTTCCCCAGCACCGGCGACACTAGTGCTCCGAGCGAGATGTAAGGGAAACACATCTGTCTCACTCACTCCAACCCCGGAATACTGCGGCTTTTCTGCTATTGGTATTTATTTTGCCTGGCTTTCTTGGGGGGACTAGTTGCTCGTAATGTTCTGTCGAGGTGAGAAGTTGTGAAGTTAGTCTACCGGCATTAGTAGTAGTGTGTGGTGGGCTGAGCAGGTAGCCCACACGCCTGCCTCCTTGTCTACTAGCAGTAGGAGTTCCACTACTGCTGTTTGTTGTCAACATGTACTCGCAGGCAGTCGCTTACGCTGTAGGCATGTCCATGGTTCAGCCCGGGTCAAACAGATGATTGTGTTTGTGAAGGTGTATTCTCAAGTAAACAAGACAGAGTGTGGGTATAGTGTTTGTATATAAGAGTAAGTGAGCGCGGTTGCACAGTCAGCTGTTTAGTTTTGCCTGATGACATTCTCATACATGTATCATTACATGTAATCATACAAACTGACATTGAAAAACTGAGCCTATATTTTTTTTTCTGTGTGTGTTTATTTGCGATTAGAAACATTATGTTACAAAGTTTCTCTCTGTGAAGATGTCTTCAGAAGTGCTTGAAGAACGGTGACAAAATACGAGACTTCATTTATTTAATTGAAGATAATTATTCAACAGGTAATGTATTAAGCCGTATTAACCTCACTTTTAGGTAAATATAACAAATTGATATTACGTATAGTTTTATGCTAGATGCCATACAAATAACAATACTCAAAAACTGTAATCTAATGTGTATAATTTATCAGTTTATGTACTAGTATATACTACTTTCTTCTTAGTTGCATATTTATATGGTTATGGAATGTAAGTGAATTGCAATTCGTCATGGAAATAGGTATTTATTACTATAGTGTTATACACTGATGAGCAATTAATATATATATTCGGATTATGGTCTTGTGGATTGTGACACCGTGTAGTCTCGTAAAAGTTTGGAACCCACCTATTAGGCTACACTGTCACCAGCAGGCTGGTTCAAACGGCAGCGCTTCTGACTTGCATTCGGAGGATGACCAGTTCGTATCTCCGTCGAGGCACCAACTCGAACCTCATGATTGAAATACTACCACAGTCAATAAGTTCGTGGAATGGCCGCAAAGCCTCGTATGGGAATTTACTGCCAATATGTTTCAGCAATGTTTTCGAAAGCTATTTCAACGTTGGCAGACTTGCATAGCGGCCAACAGCAACTGTTTTGTGGGCCGATATGGATTTGCGTAAGTGTATGTGAATACCTTGTAATATAATGCGATAGAACCACATTCCACGAACTTAATGACTCTACCACGTATATCGGGAGAGTACCTCAAGTCAGGCCACGGCCGCTTTCTTCCACATCTCTCCAACTCATTCATAAAATTATTTTACTATCTAACGTTATATAATCTGCGTTATTGATATCGTAAAAACATAAATTTGTCCTTGTGCTTAATTAATTAAGCATTGCGCCATGAAGGCGTAGGGGGAACTAGGTGTATAGATCCACATTTTCTTGATATCGGCACTAGATGGAAGTGAGTGGTCAGCTTAACACCTCGACCGCTTTACCCCCGGGGAAAAATCCCCCGGTGTCCATTGGATAGGAGGCTGGGTGGGTCCCAGAGACAGTCTTGACGACGTGGAGAAGAGAAAAATTATGCCCTTAACGGGATTCAAAACTCCGACCTCTCGGCCGAGCTTCCGGTAGCCTGTCGCTATACCGACTAAGCTATAGTTTCATTAAATAAACAACAAATAAAAATATACGGTGTCATAATCCAGAAGTCTACAATTGAAATTTACACAACGTGAATATCTCATATCTCATCACAGTTAATTTCTAGTTTTCTTTTCATTCAGTTCTACTTATGTTATTGCATGGAAACAGAGCAAGTTGAAATGTATATAGAATTGATAGCATAAAAAGCCTCACGCTTTGGCTCAGACATTTTAAAGTTGTCTCGAAAACTATAAGACTTATGGAACAAATGTATTGTATACAAAATATCCATTTCTACAAATTTTGCTCACGTAAAGTGTCCGTAATTTATGTCCGATTTTAACAACATTTGACATTTGTCGATATATTCGTAAATTTTCCCGGTTATCAATTTTAATGAAAATATATTTTACGGTTTTCGAGACGTATATTGATGACGGAAGGTCAGACATGCACACAGAAAGACATGGCAAAGTGAATAGACTCATTTTTTTAGAATATTACTAGCCAACACGCCAGACGTATGGGCAACGATACGTGCCAGACCACGAAGTGTTCTCCAAACACGAGATTGGCCCTAAATTCATATAGTCTTATCGCTGAGGAAAATGGGCACAGAAGTCTTTTATTCAAATGCGTTTAATAAATTTCATAATATGGCTTTCTATTTGTTATTCTGCAAAACATGAAGCACAAACTTTATATGGTATTCCGTGGACATTATCTATGTTAGAGCCTTTCCCTCAGTAATTTGATTTTCAAATTTGGGAAATGATGGTCATACTACTTGTACCTAACTGTGTCGAGCTGGCAGGATAATGAAGGTTATTATCTTCTAAGATGTTATACCGTGTTGTTTTTTAGATAGATACTAACGATTCGGAGGAACCTGCTTCCTCCATCTTCAGGGTAGAAGTGTAACCCGGAAGTGGTACGGATGTAGAAAGTGGCTGTTCAAGGACCTCACCCTTCTTGTACTCAAACTACTTTTTTTAATGCTCATCTCAGTCTTCATCCCCTGAAAATGGAGGCAGCAGGTTCTTTCGAAACTTCAGCAACTATCCATCACACTGCACTACGTCACATCGCAGAAGACATTTCCATTGTCGCCGACGCAGAGCGTCATCCTATCTAATTTTGCAGTAATGAGCCATAAAGGACGGATAAAATTGTCCCTGTGCTTATTTAGATAAGTATTATGCCATGAAGGCATGTGAGGGAGTTGATGTGTAGCTTCATATTTCTTGACCTCGGCACTAGATGAAGGTAAGTGGTGAGCTTCAGGCTCCTACCGCTTTACCTCCGGGGTAAAAGCACCCGGTACCCATTGGATAGGAGGCTGTGTGGGCCTCAGAATCTGTCTGGGCCTTATGGAGAAAAAAAAAGTCTTATACTTTTGGGAATCGAATCCCGGTCGTCTAGCCCGTAGATAGTCGCTATACCGACTGAGTTATCGTAATTATTGTATAGGATAAGAAATATCTTAAAGTTCTAGGCGACTATCAGCTTCTCAGGGACTCTAGTATGATTTATTCGAGCGTGTGAAAGCTGGGAATAAGCACTCATTAGATGAGACAGCTGATTTTATTTATTAAGTGCAGTTTTTTTTGTGTCTAAAGAATATAACGGTCGTTATTCTTATTTGAAATGTCTCAGACAAGATGGCTGCAGTTTCCAGCTTCGATTGCGTTGCTTGTACTTCATAATTATTTGTATAAGTTTATCTGCTATACTCGTATCTGAGATATCGTACTGTACTTCGAAACCTTGAGAACTCGGCTTACAATTTAAAGGCATTTACGTTGTCTGTGATGTATGGTCTCTCTGTGTCTATTGATGTAGTTGTATTATTCCGCAGCACACCTGCAATACACTCCGCATCGGAATCACAGGCCACACAGTTTGGCCCTGAAAATGAAGGAAACGTGTTCCTCCACCTACAAAACCACACAGTATCCCAGCCCCGAAAACTGCAGTCTGAATTTAAGCGTAGCTCTAGTCCGCAAGCGAAGTATGCCGACCGAGCGACCGCCGCCTGTCGGCCAAGTTAGTGCCAACTTTTGCGGATAGATGTCGCGTGGTCAGCCCACCGAATCCCTACAGCCGTTAATTTCGGTTTTCTAGACCGGAGTCGTTACTTTTTCATTCAAGTAGCTCCTCACTTATCCTCACGAGGCTGAGTGAATTCATTTTCAGACACACTCCTTCTCATAAAATCTGGTAGCGCCGGGAATCGAACCTGGGACCTCTGGATTTATAGCCAGGAACTCTAACCACTAGACAACAGACGCGGTCCCTTCCAGCAAACCCTATCAGCTTATACATAATCATTTTGTTGTATACAGCGTGTGTTCTCAGTAGAATTCACGATGGCTTTTCTCGAGTCCACCAACTGATATAAGGACTGTAGGTTATAGTTGGTTGAGGCACTATGCAACAAGGAGGAAGGTCGCGGGTTCGATCCCCGATGATGTAATTTGATTTTTCAATAGACCTAATGCTTTCAGCCGCACTCTGGCCCTGGGGTCGGCTCAGGCTCTACCAGAAATGAGTACCAGGAATATTCCTGGGGGTAAAGGGCGGCCGGCGCGTAAGCCTAACAACCTTACCGCCATCTATGAACGAGTTGTCTAGGAAATGTGGAGCATCGACATCTCAACCCTATAGGCCTCCACGGCCTGTTACAGGGATAGCTTTACCTTTTTTAGGGCTGTATGTGTGGTTTCGTCAAACAAAAGCGTCACACCCCATCCCTCCCATAAAGCAGCCGCAACCTCTGCCCCTATACATTTCCTGTCATATTTCTGCTCACGCTCAGGTAAAGAAGAAATCGGCTTGTACATATTGTGGCGTGGACAGCCGTTGCTATGCAATGACCGCGAGATAGGAGAATAAACATCGGTGTTATGCAACCCATTTCTAGGCAACGAATACAGACGCAACAATAGAGTTACTGTTCGAAACGATATATTTTAAAAGTTAGGAAGGTAAAATNGATCGATAAACACGTTCCCGCGGCAACGAACACAGACGCAACAATAAAGTTACTGTTCGAAACGATATATTTTAAAAGTTAGGAAGGTAAAATCAACCGTTGTACTTAATTATGTAATTATGCAATATGCCATAAAGGCATGTGGGAGGAATGGAGGTATAGCTCCATCATTCTTGACCTTTGCACTAGATGAAGTTGAGTGGTCAGCTTCACGCCCCATCCAATTTACTCCCGGTACGCTTCGGATCGGAGGCTGGGTGGGCCCCAGAGCCAGTCTGGACGTTATGGAGAAGAGAAAATTCTCTTGTCCCTGACAAGAATGGAACCCTGGCCGTCCAGCCCGTAGCCCATCGCTATATCGACAGAACTATCCCAGAATTTGTGTTCTTAAATATAATATTTTCATGCGGTAGCCGCATGCACTGCCTTCGCTCGCTCGGAAGCAGGTATCTGGGTTCGAGTCCCACTCAGGGCATGGATGTTCAGTGTTTGTGTGTGTGTGTGTACAGGTAGAGGCCTTGCGACGAGCTGATCACCCGCCCAAGGAGTCCTACCGAATGTCTAAAATCTAGTAAACCGAAGTGAAACGGAAAGTTGTAGCGCCAAAGGAAAAGAAAAAAATCATGTTTCAAAGGACACTATACAGAAGAGACATTTGGATTGAAACTTACATTATTATGAACTACGACCCGAAGACGGAAGTGGAGTGGAGCGATAGCTCCACGTATTCTTAATTTTAGCACTAGATGAAAGTGAGTGAATAGCTTCATGCCCCGGTTACTTAACCACAGGGAAACATTCCTTGGTACCAATTTGATAGGAAGCTGCATAGACGCACAGAGCCCGTCTGGACGCCGTGAAGAACACAAAACTCTTTCCCCCTTACCGGGATTCGTCTGTTGTTCAGCTCGTCTGCTAGTC